TCAGACTGAAAGCTAACAACTATGGTAAAGTGTAATCTTCAGCTGTGGTGCTGTAGATTTGACACCGAAAAGCAGTGCAGGAAACACTATGTGATTATCAAAGTTGCACTCCTACCTCTTGCTCTGAAATGCCATCGATGATCTCAGAAACCTCATGTTCGCTGCGGGCCCCTGAGGCCAGACCTCCACCTCGCTGAGCCACTCTACTGTAGAAAAACGCACAAATACACACATTAACACATCAGCCTGAGCTTATGAAACCACACATGATGACCACGCAAAAGTCTCCACTCACTTCTGCATGCGTTCCTGCATCTCTCTCTGTTTGCGGATCTCAGGAAACTGCTTTTCATAGTACTCCCGCACTTTGCTCTCTTTGGCTCTGCGGCGTGGTTTATTCTCAATGCGCTCGACTTTCTTCTCCCAGGCCTCCATTAGCTGGTCGTAGCGCTGACAGAATTTCTGTTCCTGAACACACCAGTCAGATGAAAATCAAAATCTAGGCACAGCACACTGCAGTAGAGTCATCAAGACAGGAAACATTTAAATAAAACTGATTCCTGACAGCCAACAGTTCCAATGTCATTTTAACCACCCCATCATTCAATAACTTCAATGACATGATCACTTCAACCACCTCTATGGATACCTATATGCTGGTTGCCTAATATTCAGATTCAGGGAGCTCCAACAATGCTATCCTGTTGTGTATTTGTGTTTGATGTTGTGTTGAAACTGCTATCACTTACCCACTGCTTCCGAGCATGATTTCTTCTTTTGAAATACAGAATGAGCTTCTTCCTCATTGCCTGATTTCTGTAAAGGGGAAAGTTAAAACATTAAACTTGTCAATATAATATTTGCATGCACAAATCAAGAGAATGTTAAGCCCAAGTTCACATTTTAGTGAGCTTTATGTGATAGAAAGGAACCCTAATCATAAACATTTTGCATACTGGCCCAGCTCTATGGCCATAGATATGACTTCAATGGCAGACAGTCAGTAAATTAACGAGCAATGCAGGTCAGATTAGTAGTCAGCCTTAATTCTCTCACTCCATAACGATTACTTCCTGGCCGCCAGCCTCTCACACGACATTAATCTACTCTCATCTTGCATTAATGATTGATTCCAACATGAAGGTGTGTGTGTGTGCACCTGGTTTCAGATATCGCTCAGACTGTGCATTTGACATGTACGACGGGTGCACTTAGGTCTCTTTAAATGGTTGGTTAATACATGTATGGGTGCGAGTGAGATTAATTGTGTAGCTGCAGAGGTGGCACTGTTTGCTGCTGTACGAGACAGCTCAACGCCCATGATCTACACACACATTACCTCTTACACAAATATTTCTCACTGGTGCTGCTCAGGTCAATAAAGAACTCCTGAGTACAAAATCTTAAAATGAAAATTTTTGAAATATATTCTCTTTTGTCGGTCTGAATATTATGAGGCCAAATAAGCCAAAACATCATTGAAGGATTACAGAAAATTGGAAGTAGGGGACAAACAAGTGATAATATGCAACTAAGAGAACAGTTCAAAACCCCTAAATGATGCACAGGGCTCATAGGCAAAATTATGAAGACCAAATAAATTCTGTAAATGAAGGACTAAACGAACGAACGAACATATAAGGAAATTCAATATTAGAATATTAATTGGGCTCTATGCCTCTGTGCCTACAATGCTAGTTCTCAGTTTCATCCCTCAATAATTATAAACTACAGTAATTGAGATGGAAAAGAAGCATGACTGTAATTGGTTAAGCTTCAAATTTCAGATGGACACAGTCGTTTGAGTTTTTTTAAGGAAAGAGAGGGAGACAGAGAGAGGCATACTCACATCTTGATGTTCTCATGGTACTGTTTGGTATCAGACGGCTGGTTGTACAAAGGCTGTAGGGGAGACACATGAAAGCGGTAGAGTTCAGTTTCACACACACAAACACCGCGGTCACATCAAGGCAACCCAGCTCTGGGAGAACTTTTCTTTTTCTAATGTCCCATTTTTTAGCCAAGCCCAGAAACACAAAGAAGACTGTCCTCTCCAACACCACATCTAAAACCTTCTGCTATCATCTTCATCATGCACTCGTTTGAGAGGTCAAGTGAAGGGTTTTGGATGTGAAGGAAAATGGATGTGTGGCAGTAAGTCACGGAAGTCCAGAGCATTTGATCAAATGGGCGGCACTAGAAAGACTGCTCTATCGTCTTGATTACCAAGACATTGGAGGTCACTTCCTGTTTGGTTTCTAATGTAATGGATGTGCTAAACGCTTCTGCACAAGGTCAACAGCAATGTTGATAACAAATAGGCAGCAGTGTATGTAGTGTCACAGACTCGCAGGGTGAAGGAGTTCATATTTCAATTAACACTGTGGAGGTCATGTTACAGCAGTACTAGGTTTTCATCCACCTCAAATGTGACACAAATGTAAAAAATATATATATATTTTTTTATATAATTTAAGAAATCAAATCATTCATTTTAGAAAAACCTGTTCAACATTAAAATATTGCGATGGTTTTGATGTATGTTGTCATAGAACATGACGACAAACTGAAGACCCTATATGTCAACTCTGACGTCACATAACTGGCTAATGTGACATGACCAATCTTTGGAAAAGTACACTGTGCAAGTACATGAGCTGAGCAGATACTGCTATAAACTAAATATTGGATCAGCTGACACCTTAAGTTATTTTTAATAGAGAAGATTGCTGGGGGAAAAAGAAGGACGATATGTGAAAAAAAGGAGATAAACGTGGACTCACCAGCTCTACTCGGGGTCCGAGTCCCTCCAGGATGCGGTGAGCCTCCTCTGCTTTTTTCTGTTCAAAAAAACACACAAGGCGCACATGTCAGCAGCACGTCACCACAGCAACACACCTTACACTCTCTCTAGCGCACACACATAAACAAGCAAGTGTATAAGGGATGTACTATTAATAGAGCTCTCAACAGAATACACTCGCTGCCCTCTGCCATCTACCTCTCCCTCTCTTTATGAAAGAGGACGGGGAGGGAAAGATGGCTGGGGAGGTAATCCAATTAGATGCAGAATCTATTACATTCTGTGCTGTCCTGCAACAGAGAAAGAAAGAAAAAAAATTGAGACCAAATAGGAATATGGTGACAAAAACAGCAGATTGCAGGCAGTTTTGTGTGGCTTGTGTGTCTCTTCCACACAAACATACAAAACGAAAGCCCTAAAAGTACATTTTTTCTTTTCTCGCGCAAACAAAACTTTTAGGAATAGTCACACACAGGTACTAATGCACCCTTTAAAAATAATAGGGTGATTTTACTCCAATACTGAGATTGGATAAATAGGGCATTTTCTACTATCTATTGATGCTTACTTCATTTACCTAGTGTATGCAACATATTCTTGTGTATGACCTCACTAAGAGCAGCTTTTTTTTTTCATTCAGCACATCCGATTTTAAATTGTCACAAAATAAGTAAACAATCAGTCTGTCATCATTTTAAAGGTGATGCAACATGGAAAACTGGGTTTCCCTTGCTTTCACAATACTAGGAACACTCCTTATAAAGACCGAGTTGTTCAAATATCACTGACTATGACGTCCATTATGACCAGCCACATTTACATAAATATTCAGAATACAGCAAATTCAGCTGCCCTGACATACGAAACTGCTGCACTGATACCTGATCAATCTATTAATATTTCTTCAATTTATCTTTATTTCATATTATGAAGGTTACGATTTAAATAGCAGATTTAAGTTACAAAAAATGTAATTAAAATTATTAAATAATATTACTATTATTTATTAATACTACAACATTAATATATAAAGCAAGCCATTGGTCCATATATTATTCTAAAAAACGATTTAATAAAAACAATATATTTATACAAAGAATAATTCAATTAATTGCATGCATGGTTGCTTTGGAGTATTTGTATTTTAATGGATACTAGTTTACTGTTAGAGCAAACGTTTCATGGATTAGCTGTTTAATTGATTTGCCAAATGCAAATAGGTTAGATAATCATATTTACATAGAGGTGTATTAAAGGTACAGTAGCCAAAATAAGCTGTTTTTTTTTCCCAGGGAGAAAGAATACAAAACCAGTTTTCCTGCTGGAATCTTGTCCAACATTATCAGTGCACTTCAAAGGAAAACAACAAACCACTATTGTAGAACATGGCACCTTTAATAAGACAATTTCCTCTCCCACTGTGAATCGGTGTGACACTGGCGCTTTAACAAAACTAGCTCCTGTATTCTATCTCATGGATTTCAGAGAGCATCGAGTGCTTCCTGGAAGAGAGCAGGAAGGAGTGAGCCCTCTTCGGCAGTATCGCAGCATGAGAGACCTTAATGGATTAAGAGATGGAGGGTGTGATTAAAAGATCACAGCAGGACGGAAGCCAGAACCACCTGACATGGGAAACGAAAGTACAGAGTACAGACCTGGATACACTTGAGGCAGAGAACAGTAAAAGGCAGATTCAATTATGATGGAGATACATGAGGCTTTCAGCAGGGTAAGCAGAAATGTTGTGCCAAAAATGCCAGTCAAATGATAGCCAGTAATTTGATCACTCAAAACCTCAGGAGGTTGTTTGAGACACAGACAAGACGCAAAAACCAGAAAAGAAATCCACCACACAAATAAAATGAGCTCCATAATGGACTCTCAGATGGCCCAAATATTGTATAACTGTCTTCATGCTTTTTTGTGCTTTTATAATCATATGTTAACAGATTATCACAGCCAAAACTCCATTACTAACATATTTGTTAATAACAAAATTTTTAACATAAATTACTTGAAGTCAATTTCTCATAAAAACGCAAGATGCAAATAAATATTTTATATAATATATATAAGCCTGGTTTGAGACTCTCTAGTCTCTCCCCACTAGAGGGACCACTAGCACCACAGACTTTCTATACTGTATGACTTTCCACAACAGCATCCTAATTTACATAGAATACATTGCATTTAATATATAAACTTAAGTAGTAGTGCACTCCAAATCATAGCGCTTCAAAGTATTTCAAAGGAGCCTAGATGGACAGCTATTTCCATTTTTATTTTCTGTAAAGGTTCCGTTTTGACTTTCTTACTGTAGACAAGTACAGGCAAGGAATAATGTCTAAATTTCCAGCTAGAGTCTAATGCTAATGTGCAGCAGAGGGGGGTCTGTCACATCAAAACACAAATGTATGACAGCTGGTACATGCTAATTCTGGTGTTCTGTCTTTATACAAATTTACAAGTATGTATTATGCTTTTAACAGCAAAGTAATTTTAGTACACAGCGTGAGAATTAAGATTAGCCAATGGTTCTGTTAGAGAGAGTCTCTGGAGCTTGAGAGGTGGTGTGATTCAGCATAATGGACTGAGTCATATGGTGGTGGAGGGGCTGAGTTCACCACCAATTGACTGCAGCACCTCATTACACATTTAACAGCTCATTTCTCTCGTTAAGATCTGTCACAGCTGTTTGACTTACCTGTGTCTGTTCAAAGATGATTTTTTTCCTGAACATCAACATTCATTTGTTTAAAATGTGTACTTGTCTAACAGAGGAACACACGCAGACACACACACGTAGTATTTCACCCCAAAAAATGGAAACATACCAACAAAGCTACCCGAAAAAACTAAGTGTACCTAGGACAAAAACTGTTTTAAATGTGTATATATATATATATGTGTGTGTGTGACACACACACAGAGTATACAAGATGCAGTAAGTGTGTTTTTGTTCTCACCCTGTTTTCATCATAGATGATCTGGACAAGGCTGCGATGTTTGGCTTCACTGGGTGGAGGTGAGATGGTGCGCTCTGGCTCCTGGGGTTTTGCAGCCTCTTCCTCCAGTTGTTGCTAAAAGAAAATAGAGAGCATGAAAGATACAAATAGTTAGATTTTTCTTAAAGCTACACTGTGTGATTGTTACCCCCATCTAGCGGTGAAAAGGTATATGACCATCCAGTGAATATTAGTTTCTGTTGCTCTCAATGGGCTTTATGCACAGCTGCACTACTTCCTGAACTTCAGCCAGCTTCTTGTTTCCTGTCTGCCATTATTGGCCAAATTGATTAATTCAGGTGTGTCTGATTATTGTTGCCATGACAACTGAGGTCAGGCACACCTGGATTAATCAATTTGGCCAATAATTGCAGACAGGAAACACGGAGCTGGCTGAAGTTCAGGAAGTAGTGCAGCTGGGCATAAAGCCCATTCCGATTTCATTTTAACTCCTACTGTGGCCAATGTAGTCCAAGATTAACATGGCTTCCAGTTCAACCTCGTGTTGCCCCTCGATGGAGGGGCAACATGGCGACCGACATTAGAACCCCTTACCCGTATGTATTTTCAATGGCACATTATACACTCACAAGAGTACTTTATTACTTGAACGAAGTAAATATACTAGAGCCGGGACTTTAACACGTTAATTAAGTAATTAATTACAGACTTTAACGCATTAATTAATTACACAAAAAATTTACGCATTTTAATCGCACTTATTTTTGCACCGCGGAACATTTCTCAGTGGATTAGTTTCAGCGGACCGATTATACTGCCGTTCATGACTTTTTTTTACACTCTATGCTTCAGACAACTAAATAACAAACCACAGTGAACATGAACGAAGAAGCTGACGAGACCGCTTTGGTTGGTCCCGTGGATGGGAAATTTTGTTATAAAAACGAACGGATGGAAGCGTCATTAAGAGCATGGTTGTGTGCAAGCTATGCAACAAGGAATTCGCATATCACATCGACCCTCAAGTTTCACCTCAATGCAAAACATATACAATTGCACTTGTCTCTGCTGGACTTGGTTGAACAAAAATAAACAATATTTTGTTGCTTAAGCTTATGTATTCAGTCATTATTCAATGGTATACTAAAAATCCATGTGAAAAAAAATCTTCTTGCTTTTCTCAGTTCAAATATTTATGCAATTAAAATGCGATTAATTTCGATTAATTAATTACAAAGCCTCTAATTAATCAGATTATTTTTTTAATCGAGTCCCGGCCCTAAAATATACATTAATGAGCACATATATTTTTAAAAGAACTAAGTGTTTTTAGCTAAGAAAAAACTAAGAGTTACACAGTGTAGCTTTAAGAAAAAAAACAATAATGCTGCAAACTACACAAGGAACCATCTCATTTGGTACACTATAAAATTACAGTTTAAAATTAACAACAGAGGCATTATATTCAACTGCTATTTATTTTCAGATATAATTACACGCCAATAAAAGTGAAATGTTTGTATGCAAAGTAGATGCACATAAGCAGTTTTCATAAGCACTAGTCTTCATGGGAAATTTATTCAAACATGGAGATATATTTAACAGTAAATAAGGTCCTCTCTGGGTTTTTTTTAGCTAACTAATGAACTGTGAAGATAGGATAACTTTTCTGAGGTAAATGCAAAATTAAGTGAAATTTTTCACAAGTTGTTTTATTGACATATTTCCACAGTTGAAAGAAAGAAGGGATTATATGAGAAAGGTTTCGGTTAAGTTCTTCATACATTAAATGCATGTCTGTTTTTCGAGATATAATTTGTAATAATGTGGAAGAAAAGACTGACTGGCTGCTCTGGCTGCCGCTTAAACCGAGGCACTACAACGATCTGTTATGTCACATTTAAGAGTGTCAAAACACCATTTATTAATTTCAGAATAAAATGGACAGAATTTGAAAGATGAGACTGAGTCGTATCAAAAGTAACAAAGCTCTTTGGAAGTATTGGATGAGAGGCGCACTACATTAACTTGACATTTTCTTCACATACAGTATGAGTTGCAGTCAGACACATTTTTCTGGACCCTGTTTTGATTGACAGGATTTAATCGGCCCTGATCATCGGCTGTTTTGTATCTGACTAATGGACGATACAATAACTATATTGAAACTCTTTTTTATACTGATAAAAGACGACTAATGTAACGCTGTTAAAATAAGCAGACAGACACAACAAGGATCCAATATTATATGAGCTCATTTTAACTACCGATGAGCTGAAGAGCACAGTTTAGCCAAGAGTACGGCAAGACAACTTAATAGTCAAAGACCAATAATTTAAAAAAAAATTAAATAAAAACAGTTTATACAAATATGCACACACAGAGGTCCTGGCTGCAATGAAATCCTAAAATGGGCCTCCTTGCAAACATAAGCCCAAACTCATATGGATCAACTCTAGTCTGTGTGTGCGCTGAGTAAAAGAAAATAAACGAGCCGTCCCGCCGAGCTCACAGACAGACAAACACGCGGTAATCTGATATTCTCACTTCTCTCTTCATCCCTCCCCCGCTTTACGTTAAAGTTTACCGCACCATTTAATTGCCCCAGATGTTTTAATGCTTGGAGCAAACCTGAGGGGAGAGGAGAGAGATGGACGGGGTCCGTTACCTCACTGAAAAAAGATGCCAAATCTTTCAGAAAAAAACAGTATGGGGTTGTGGGGCAGATGAGGAGAGGTACATTTTTCTTGGTAGCGTGACTGTACTTATACAACCACTCAGGCTCAAAGCCGTTTCACTCCCTCTTCAATCCACCATCGACCCCACAATGGACTATCCCATGGAGCGCAGGTGGCTTCGATTTATAGAGCAGCAGTTTGGACGCGGTCCAAAAGCTCAAGTGAATTGGGGGTGGGGGGGGGGGGTGTTTTACAAGAAGACAGGGTCTGTTTATATATTTTCTGCAATGGCTCTGATAAAAAAAAATGTAAAAAACCTTATAAAATAGTCTTATTATACATTTGCAGATTAAAACATAATAGTTGAATGTACATGATGCGATTATTCCGCTGAAATAAGTGACTTGAAATTATACTGCTGAATAACTGTTTGAAGTAGACCACTGAGTGATGGCACTGCCAAGAGGGAAAGAAAAAGGAAGGAAGGAGACCGAAAGGAAGCAGAGGAAGTGTGTTTGTAGCCGTGTGGCCTGCTGAGGCAATAACCACACAATAATCACAACTCGGCTCCCCGCACACACACTCATCTACTACTGCTACCAGACTCAAAGCGTCCAGATTACATAACACTAACTCCACCGTGGATGAAAAGTATCCACTTGTGCTTATTACTGAGCTGTACTTAGAAATAAATCCTTGTCCTCTTCTAAATAAAAAGCTTTGCTATGCTTCCTGGTGCTTATTTTAGAAGGCCAACTTATCCTGAAAAAGAGATTTTAGGATCCTTTATGCAAATAAATGGGCACTATGTGCTTGGCGGGGACATTTTTATTTGAGGGTTCATAGAGTTGCTCTCTAAATTTCTCTACATACTTACAGCTAGATAACTGGGGTGAGGCTTACCTGTTTTTTACGCAGTTTGCATATCTGCTGCTCCACCATGGTGATCTCCCGGTCCACACGGTCCATGTTCTGGATTAGCTCCTCTTTAGAGAGGCGGGAGGGAACCAGGTCCAGGTCAGCCTCCATGGGCACCGGGCTCACAGGAGAGATGGGCTCAATCTTTCCAATAGAACTGCTGCTGCTGTGCTCCTACATAAAAACATCATTGTACTCATTCAGAACTACAGTAGATGCTTTGTGGTGTTTGTCAAAGCTGTGGGCTTAAATTCTTTTTTTTTTCCCCCGGTGATTAACACGAATCAGGAAACTTAAGGACATTTACCCTTTTTGGTTTCAATAACTACAAACCCATCTAGGATGATTAATGCTAATTATTAATAATAATTATCAAATAGACTGAAAAACAATTTCCATGCAGGCTCTATGTAATATGTAAGCTACACATACAATAAGTGCATTTGAAACAAGTTACGTGTCAAGGTTTCATAAATGGGTTTGGCAATAGCAATAGTGAAGCACGCCTTGGCAAGCACCACTAATTAATACAATTCAACACTTCAGGGATTTTTAGTTTTTTTTTTTTTACATTTTGGGTTCTTGGAGATAGATACAATGCACTCATTCTTCCCTAAAGAATGATGGCTACAACACAAAACCGCTTGGAGACTGTTTAGCAGTAAAACTCTTATATTAAACTGGTGAATGTACACAGCAGACCAGTGGTTGAGACTATTGGAAAATCAGCTACTTAAAAGTGTGGTAAAGAGCTTCTGGGTTCATCCTCTCACATGAAGAGAATGTTATATAAGAGGTGTGATCGGGGAGGGCGCCTGCTGTTCTCTCTCTGCTCACCCCTTAAAGATCACTCAGGCAGAGCAGCCCTCAAGGCAAATGCCTGGTCTGTGTGGACAGAATCACCAAACTAAAATACAATAACAAATAATAAATAATAATAACCACCAACATTTTTACTGGCATCTGACTTACTTTACTGATATCTGACTATACTGGCATCTGGCTCACGTGAAAGATTATTAAACACCCCATGTGTTTTAAAATAAGAAAATAAATAATTGTATTTGTTTAAATAAATATTTTTATGAGAATATAGACGATGCAAATGCCACGCTCCATAATGAATCTCATCTTCACGAAACCCCTCAACATTACAGCATGTGGCTAAAATATCCATTTCCAGGATGTCCATGGAAAGAGAGAGACTAAGCCCAAGGACCATGGGCACTCTGAGAGCCTTGCTGATGTTCAAAACATTCCTAGGGGCATTCAAAGCTTCAGGCGGGATTTAACACTTGAAAGAGGATTTGACAGTCACTTTAGGACTCAAAGCTGAATATATGCACACACACACACACACTCTCATACATACACACAGTGTTGAACGAAAAGTGAAATGAGTGCATGAGAATTAAAACACCAAGCTGCTTTATATAAACAAACCTGAGTGCTAAGAAATGGATATCACTGGAGTAACCTTCACAGAAACAGGTACAAGTGCCAACACACACATACACACACTCCCTCTCGTACATATATGTTTGTGAGGACATTCATTGACAATGCAATCTCTAGCTCCTTACCCTTTAAGCGCATAACCCTTAACCTTATTATAACCTTATCCCTGAAACTAGGGATGGGACGGTATGAAAATTTCATATCACGATTATAGTGTCCAAAATAATCGTGATTATCAATATTATCACGGTTTTTGTTAAAAATTTATGAAAGTGCTCAAAAAGAACTGATGCTCACACTGAAAACATTTCATTTCATTTTATAATTGAAAATCAACAAACACCAAATAAAACATGTCTCATGCAGTTTTTTAAGCAAGATTCTATTCTATGGCATTTGCTTCTTTATAATGCCCGTCGTCAATAGCAACGCATTATTACACAGCGCACATCCATATCACAACGGACGCGCGCTCTTGTTTCATTCAAATACAACTTGCCGTCTTGCGTCTCCGGTTTTTGATTGTATTGCAAAAATGAAATCAGAGTTGATTTATTGTTTACAGAGTTTGATAATATTGGTGTGATATATCTTGTCTGGACGATTGTTTTACAAAATGAATTCATAAACAGGTAAGATTTAAAACATTAGCTAATCTCATTATCAATTCAATCTGTCCCCGTAATTATGTGGTAAAAATAAAATCGGATTAATACGTGATGTATCTATACTTTACTATCCCTTAAAATATCACTCTTAATAATAGTCTTGTTTGAAGTTGTTCGTTCGTCTTTGGCTCAAAGCCACTTGGTACGAACTTTTCTTCGCGGAAGCTTGACGTCTATTTCAAGTGACTGACATAAAATGTTTCAGCTCAAAACAACATTTCGTGCCCAATTGTTTCCCAGACTTAGTTTTGGTATTGAGGTCAAAGTTAACTTGCCTTGCGTTCGGGTGATGATCACACAAGACGACTCGGCAGATTTGAAGTGTTTCTATTGCAGTGACTTTTTGTTCAGCAGACAAGGTGACCATCCTCGATCAAGTTTCCCTCAGGACTTTTGTAAAACCCAAAATATGACCACACCTCAGATTTGGTCCTCTTAAAAGGCTGAAAAACCTCCTGAGCAGGGTCACTGCCTTCCGCCATTCCTTCTCGAATAGTAATTTAAAAAAATATTGCGTGCTGCGCGCCTGCGTCAGACTGGCCGACAGGATTCAGTGAGTTATTAAAATCGCGATAATCAAACACGGTTTTAATGATAATTAAATTTTAAACGATAATACTAACCGTCAGTACATTTTATCACGGTTTATAGTGAAACCGGTTATCGTCCCATCCCTACCTGAAACCAAGTCTTGACCCTCAATCAGAACTTTAAAGGGTCTCAGAAAGTATGGACCAGCCAAAATCTCTTCACAAATTTGCGAATCAAAACTACTCCTTTCCTAGTAAAACATTAACTTGATTTTCTAAAGTCAATAAATATGCGACAGCTGAAACCAAACCATGTCAATCTCTGTGTAATATATAATTTATTTAAGCCACAAAATAAACTTCCTTCCATAAAATAAGTATAATGAACTAAGCAAAAACCTTCTGAATCTATCCAGCATAATTATAAGTAAAAGGGCTGAAAAAAATTTGCATTTCAAGCTTGTGAATTATTATCACATCCGTCAAAAACTTTGTCAGACTGTCCGTTGGAATATTAGAATTAAAAGCATTGACGACACACTCATGGGCATCAACAACTTCACTGAATACTAATAAATAAATAATTATTACCTTACGATCCATGTGTTTTCAAATCCACATCATTTGAATTTCATAACATCAATATCTGCGTATGGAAGTAGAAATTTGATCTTCACTCGCTGAAATTCAATCGGAATGATCAGGGAACAGAGAGAAATACTTCCCACTGCATTCTAAACAGAATAAACACTAACTGGAAAACTTCACCGGGTTTGTGAATTTTATGTACGAACACATCTGAGATTCCAGATTGTAACATATTCAATCATTTTCCATTTATAATTTTAGCAATAGATGAATTGTTAAATGAGTGATCTTGAGACGAGTTCCTGTAGTCGTCCAGTTTGACACTCATGCTGATATAATATTATGAACTTGACAGGGTTTTTTTCTATATATAAAATGTATTTTGAATACTATATTGTCAGATGTTTAAAAGTGAAAATTCAGAAAAAAAAATGTGAAAATTCAGCCTTGCATCACAGGAATAAATTACACTTTAAAATATGCAGAAAAATTAACTTAAATGTTAATACTATTTCACAATATTACTATTTTTACTGAATTTTTGATCAAACAAATGCAGACTTGGTGAGTTATAATTTCCGTGATACAAAAATGTATATTAATACATCAAAAGCAGGACTATACACTTGATCAAATTGCGATATGGACTAAAGCACAATATTTAAAGCACAAAAAGATTGCTATTTATATTCGATGTGTGCATGTACAACATGTCTGAGTGAAATGAAGATCTTTGTCATCACCATCTCTGTTCGAAATCTGCAATTACAGTCATTCGCGGAATTATCAACTTTACACGAGTTGTACTTCGACACCCTCGACACGGCACAGCGCAGATGAACACAATCTTTGAGACTGAGGCGGTCAGTAACCGTGCCAGTGGGGATATTGGCATTCAGAATCACAGATTATTCTTTTTGGAAGTATGACTGAACTTCCGGTAGTAAGAAACATCCACATCCACCTTCAACAGAAAAACATAATTATTGACTCCTAAGTTTTGAACGGTAGTTTATATTCAAATAACTCATTTTCAAAATACAAAAGTCTTTTTCAAATACAAATTTATCTCAGATCACGATATTCACATAATGTGTGTTACACTAACGGCACCATCTCTTACCACTGCTCCATCTGTTTTCCTGAAGCCAAAATTTCACTTTCTTTTCACTTTCATTGCCAGCTCGCTCTGATGGTTCCATCGCTCTTGAAAGTCAAACTCAATGTGTGTGTACTAGGGGTGTAACGGTACATGTATTCGTATTGAACCGTTTCGGTTCGAAGCTTCTGGTTCGGTACGCATACAAACCGAACGATTGCTTGGACCATTTTTCCTGCCGGCAAAATTCGTGCTGACGCGGCCGACACAACGTTGCGCAACATCAAATGGCAAGCGTAATGAATGCAGAACGAAACTGCGCTATTTTGTGCTTCACGCATCGTTTATCAGTTCGGACCAGCAACATCTGTGCAGCGCGAGCCGATCTCGACCAAGCGACACTGTTACTACACAGCGCTAAGAGATCCGGTAAAGAAAACATTTGAATTCGCCACTGAGGTAATAACATCGCTGCGAGATCTAGTGAGATGCATTCACATTTCTCCGTTATTAACCGCAGATCTCTATTAGATCAAACAGCGCTGTCATGGAAACCAGGAGAAACATTGTGCCGTGAATGAACTTTACGTCCACAGACCAGCAACATTCACCATGGATTTAATATAGTAACACTAACTGTAACCAGTTTGGCTGGAATGGTGAAATGCTTTCAAGTACTTCACACATCTTTTACCAGCACTTCAAAATTCAAATATTATATAAATAAATATATATTTAAATGTTATTTTTAATGTGATGACCAAAACATTATTTGTTCATCCTTCAAAGATGACTCCTATTTATAAACCTGAAAGTTTCAAGATCTAGGAA